TGTCATTAACGGTGAGTTTTATGTTATGCGTGATTGTACTAGATTAAAAAATAAAAGAAGGAATTGCTCGTGTTAAACTCAGCACCCCTCCTCCCCGTATGTTGCAGGGTGAATTGTGTCTCCCAAAAAGATGTGTCGGAATCCTAACCACGTTACCCGTGAATGTGGCCTCCCTGGGGAATCGGGTCTTTGCCGAAGGAATCCAGGTAAGACCAGGTGGGCCCTCATCCCAGAGGACTGCTGTCCTTCTACCGAGGTGTGAATAGAGAGGGGCTGTCTGGTGGCTGTGGGGATAGGGAGGGAGGCGCTGACATGCCTGGGGCCATCAGAAGCTGGACCGGGTAGGCACCATCCCCGAGAGGCGGCAAAGGGGTGGTGGCCCTGCCAGTCCTTTCATTTCAAGCTTCCAGCCTCCAGCCCCGGGAGAATGTATTCCTGCCGTTTGAAGCTACCAGGTTTGGGGGAGTGTTACGCTCACCCTAAGAAACTGAGCTCTCTCACTCTCGGCGCCAGCCCTCCCGCTAAGGTGCCATAATAGCTCTCGCCCTGGCCCCCCTCCACTGGGGGAAGCGGCAGAAGCAGGGTGCCCCCCTGAGGACCTTCTCCCCACCCTCCAGCCCTGCCACACACCTTCCCCGGGCTTTTCAAAGAAGTACACGGCCACAGATTAGTCATTCCATTGCCTCAGTTTTAAATATTTATTTAAAATCCAGAAGGGAAAAGGAGAGACGGGACCCACGGGGGTTTTAACACTGACATGTGGACAGAGACATAAAGGGGGACAGCAGAAAAACCCAAGGACGAGACGGGGGCCAGGTCGAGACTGGCAGCGTGGGGAACGGAGCTGAGCGAGGCCCGGCGGCTGCGGAATGCCCTTCCACGGGAGGCCTCCGGGCGGGGCCGGGGGCAGGGATGCAGGTGGGACGGGACCAGTGGGGAGGGTGGGCTAGAGTGAGGTATTAAATAATGCAAATCAAATCCAATTCCCCAAGAGACACAACTTGAGAGAAAGACAAATAGACTTTCACATAAAATTTCCCCTTCTATAAAAATAATTCCTGTTAAAATAACCTCAGGATCCGCCCCGGGCGCTGGCTGGTTCGCGGATGTAGGCGATTCAGGTGGCACTGAATATCCCTATCATGCCGCACCCCAAGGTTCCCGTAGGTATTCCTTCTCCTCGGCCCACGTGTGCACGGGGAGCTACTGACGCTGTGTTCCTATGGGATTTAATGACTAAAAAAGCAAGAGTGATGGCTGCGTCTTGAGGGGACAGGCTCCTGGGAGGGAGGATCTTAGTGGGTGGTATGTGGCTTCGGGAGATGGTTCCACGTTTCTCTTCCACCTCCAAGGCCAGCCTACCCACCGTTGCTCCTGTAACCGTTTCTTCAAGGTCAAGGCTTCTCCCAGGACCCTCCCGTCGACATCGCATCCTCCGAGTGCATCCTTGGCCCAACTCCCCTCTGGGACCATGAAGGGTTAGGTCAGAATCCTTCATGCTCAGGCCTCCCCTGCTTTAGAGGACAAACGTATCAAAGTCTGTAAGTTAAAAGGCAAATCTCACTACTTCTGTTTCTGGCAGGGGTGTGTGTGTGTGTGTGTGTGTGTGTGTGTGTGTGTGTTTTCCTTTTGCTTTTTTCCCTTCTCCTTTCTTCTTCCCCCCTCCTTAGCAGATTACGGATGAGCACCTGGGTGATGCTAGGAGAATTTAAAAGTTCCCCGAACTTTGTCCTTTGGAGGAGAGAGAAAAATGTGGAGGAGAGCCCACATCAAAACGTTTCTTCAGAGTCTGTGGCAAAAATGGTAGCACCTTCAGAATCTTAAATAGGGGTTTGTTTGTTTTTTTCGTAAAAAAAAAAATCACATACACTAAGAGACGATTGCGAGCACCAGCGATTCCACAGTGGGAGGTAGCAGACGTGGGCGCCCCCAGCCCCGAGGGGAGGGTCTCCTCTCCCTCGGCTTCCTTTGCTTCCCACCCCCGGCTGCTCTCTCTCACCCTCTCACCTCTTTCCCAGGTGAAAAGAAGAGTAACGCACCTCCTGTGTGTTTGTTTAAATAAAATATATATAGTTCTTTCTTTCCTTTTCTCCTTTTTTCATGTCTCCTCTCTAATATTGCACATCGAAGCTCCCTGGCGGGGACCAGCTGCCCCCTTCCCTCAAGCTGGCTGGAACGTGGGGCTCTTGCTTGGGCAGGAAGCTGGGGAGGGAGGGGTGGCCGCGGAGCTGGGAGACAGGCCCAGTTGGCTCAGGCTGGCTCTTTGGTTGGTCTTTGGAGCTGTGCTGGGGTCACCCCACTCCCTGTTACCCCCCAGCCCCTTCTACTGGGCAGACAACATCTGGGGCCCGCCCTAGGGCCCTCGGGCAGGGGACCTGCCTCTCCTGGGCCCACCTGCCCCTAAGTACCCTCCCTTTGCCTCCTCCTACTCCTCTTCCCTCGCCTCCAGGCCTAGAGGAGCCAGGAGGTCAGAGGTCAGAGGAAGCACGCAGGTCCAACTTCCAGGCGGTACTGCTTCCCTGATGAGGCAGGAGGGAGGTTGTCCACACTGACAATGGGCAGCTGCTGGGGGTCCTGGGTCCGGAAGGTGAAGAGCGTCTGCTGCCAGCGGCCATCCTGGACCTGAGGGCAGAAGGAAAAGAGGACACACATGTCCACCACGGGCCTCTTCGTCCATCTCATGTGATTCCCCGGCATCTCTCCTCGCGGTTTCTGATGGCCACACGGTACTTCCCCAGAGCACCCACCCGGACTGCTCCATTTAGATTGCTCCTGCTACTTTTATGCTTATGAGCAATGCTGTAATGACTGTCACTGTACTCAACGTTTGTGCACATTTGTAATTATTTCCACAGAACAGATGCTAGATGCAGATTTGCTGGATCAGAAGATAGGTATGTTTCTACGCTTTGGATTTATATATCCTCTTAT